TTTCACCTGGAAAGAGCTTGAGAGGACCTTCGTTGTTCTGTACCAGCAACATTAGGAGCATCCTGGTATTCCGTGTTAAATACGTGAAAGTTCAAACGTACACAGTAAGAACTTTGAAACACGTGAATTTATGCTCTAAGAGTCATTTGTAACGATTCCATCGCGGTGTTGATGTGCAGGAAAACCTGTTTTCTCTAGATCTGTCCGGCCAGTTGTTTTGATGGCAGTAATTGGTGCTGAATTTGGTTAGCTTGTACAGCTTTGCATGTCACACAAGTTTCTGTGTATGGTTGGCTTTGTTGTTATTCATTGATCAGAGGTGACAGGTTAGCAGCACCCGGTATAACTAGTTCTCACAACCAAAACTTGTATTCATCAGGCAGGAGGCAGCAACTGTTCCTGAGCACCAATACTCTGAAAAAGTTGATGCCATGGATTTTATATTTATGTGAAGCTTGTTTGCTGACTGCCCCAAATTTTTAATGCTCTCTGCCCCATGGCTTTGCAACTTTGGGATGGGCGGACTTGAACCAGAATGGTGTCCATAGAGTATCAGTTTGAATGACAGGAGTCTGTCTCACAATTAGATGTGGGCTAGAATCAGGCAGTCTCTTTATAAATCTTAGAATTCATTCCTAAAGACAAGAATATTTCAGCTAACTTTGTTCAGCCCCAAGTTTACATTTTTGCACAGATTTTTCATGGCTCAACCGTTTCATGTCAGTAAACACCAATTAACAAAATGATTGATATAGGTCATTGGCTCAGGTGTATATCCAAGAAAACTGTTACTTTCCTTGGGACTGTTTCATGAAAGTCCTCATCTCTTCAGAGTTGTGAGTTCATCGGCCCTTCTCATGCTGCTTTTGAGATTTTAGACTTCTGCTACCAAATAATAACCCCAGAAAAGGAGAAACCTGAAGGTAGCGTTTATTTCTTTTACTGTTAAGTTGATGCTCCTGCACTTAGAGTAAGTGACATTTCTACAAAGTAGAAGCAGAGACTGGAAGATTCTTGGATTGATGGCTTAAATCAAGGTGGTGGCAGAAGAAATGGAGAAGTGAATGGATTTTAGATGTTTTTAGGAAGTAGCATTGATAGGTCTTGGTGTGGTAGATTGCATGTAGAAGGTAATACAAGAAGAATCCCAGCTAGAGGTGTCAGATGAACAATAAATCTTTTAGGATGAGTATATCCTGTGCAATATTTGGTACATACTTATACTGAAAATATTTTGTAATTTACCTGAAATTCAAATTTAACTAGGTATTGTCGATTTTTATCTGCTAAACATGGTTAGTCGTACTCTCAGGGTTCTGGTTTGAACAGCTGTAAGTGGTGCCATTTATTGGTGATGTTTATAAAGAAATGCTTAGATAATTTTCAGTCATATTCAGTTATTTGTTGTTGAAGCCCAGGAGGATTAAGAAAGATTCTGTCATGTATAAAATCTAAACTTTTCAGAAGGTAGATATTGAAAGTTTCAAGAAAAAAAAAAATAGGTAATATTACTGGGACAGTTCTGGAAAGGATATTGACCCCAGGAAGTTGGTGAAACTATCAAAAGTATAATTTAGAACATTCAATCCAAAGGGTGTTTGGTGAAGAGTTAGAAAAAAATCAGACAAGTGAAGAAAGTTAGAATGGTTGTATAGATACTGTTCCTCTGAGCTTAGTTTGTTTAAGAAATTACATAAAGCAAGAAGGACAACAAACAAGGGCAGATTAAGAGATGTCACAGATTTACATAATTAGCATCAAGAAAATTACTGAGAGAAAAAATGAAACTTAAAGCCCCCAAATGAGTGGTGGTTTTAAGAAATGCTTTAGATTAAAACAATTTTTAAAGTCTCCCAGAGTTGTGTTTAAAACTTGGCTGCTGCCTAGGGCCCAGCCTGGTAGTGTAAACTTGACTGATAACAGAGAAAGTGGCTTTTATTTTGTAACACCTGTTAATGATACTGATCATCGCACTGAAAGTGACAGATAATCTTTTCATAAAATGGGTAAAGATACAAAAGGTACCCATGTGCTTATGTTTCCTGGCATAAACTCCTGGGAGAGTTTCAGTCTAGAACCCCAGAATTGTTTCAGTGATCTAGGAACTTGGAAAGGCGTAGAAAGAACATATGTGCGTAAATAGATTTAATGCTAGTTCTAGATCAGATTGTTTATAAACCACTAGAAGAGGAAGTTGTCAGCACTCTCCAGCATGAATTCACTATGAAGTCTTGTCACGCTGATCCAGTCTCTTGTACAGAGTTCTGACTGGTAGATCAGGAAAATGCAGTAGGTTTAGTTCATCTGAACTTCGGCAGAGAATAAGATTTGTTTTTGTGATGTCCTGGTGGCAGATTTGAGAAAGGAGAAATTAATGTTCATGTAGTTTGCTGGAATAATATTTGTTTGAATGACCCTCTTCAGAGGTCGTTGTCACACGTATGACTGGGGAAACGTTTCTAACGGTAGGCCACAGGACTGTGTTCTTACCCTTATCTGTTCAACATTTTTCTTTAATTTCCTTCTTGTTTCAGAGGCTATTTTAAGAAGCTTACAAAAACTGCCCAATTTAGTTAAACTGATTCTCTAGGTGGTGGGGGCACTACAGCCTAGCTTAATCCAAGGATTGTGTTGGGATATTCAGAGTGGAAACGGCAAATACACAACACTGGTGCCCTTTCCTATGTCGGCTCACACATCACTGAGGTTTCATGGCACTTTCTCCCATTGAGCCCATATCACAATCCGCCTCAACACAGTGGAGCCTGTTTTACATCCCCAACCTAGAGAAATGATTGGCTACCAAAACCTTCTGGATCCACGATACTATTCATGAACAGCGTGTTGAATAATTTCTGAGTAGCCATGAATGCGAGGTTACTCTGAGCGCTGCCTGAAATGAACTTATTTTATGTTGTTGGTTAAGTGTTGAACATTATGCTTTAAAATTTAGGTTACATGAGGATGGGACAATATGTTTTAGAAAAGTTACGCTGCTGAATGAGTAAATTTATCTACAGAGAATGTCACCATACCTCTGTAAACAGGAAATAAAGTAAGGAATACCCAGCGTTGAGCCAAGAGTCTTCTAAAGAAATAATTTATAGTCTGATATAATACTAATGAGTGAGATCATGAAATTATAAAATGGAGTTAAAATTTTTTAAAGCATGAAATCTTTTATGCTTAGAATGTAGTTAGAAAATCATTCAAAGTAGCATGAATATCATAATTTTTACATACAAAAATTTTAAAACCAGTATAACTGAACACTTTAGTAAAAAGAAAAAATAAACTAAGAAAAGTTCCTTATTCCTTTAATTTTGAATAATATGATTTGGTTTTATCACTTCACCATGTGCTTTACATGTCTTATAAAATATGTATATTGGTAAATTAAGGAGAATATAATTCATTTACCAGAATAATGGTTCTAGTTCTATAATAGTTTATATACTTAAATTTTTTATTGTGGTAAAAAAAATATATGACAAAGATTTACCATTTTAAGTGTATAGTACAGTGGTGTTAAGTATGTTCACATTGTTGTACAACAGATCTCCAGAACCTTTTCATCTTGCAAAACTGAAACTCTGTAATTACTGAACAGAGTTTTTCCCCTACTTCTAGCTCCTGGCAACTGCCATTCTATTTTCCCTGAGAGTTTGACTACTATGGATACTTCATATGAGTAGAATCATGTAGTATTTGTCTTTTTGTGATTGGCTTATTTCACCTATCATAATGCCCTCAAGTTTCATTTATATTGTGGCATAGGACAGGATTTCCTTCTTTTTAAAGGCTGTATAGTCCATTATATGCATATACCACATTTTCTTCATTAGGTCGCAGTAATGTTGCAATGAACATGGATATGCAAATAATCTACTTGAAATCCTGTTTTCATTTATTTTTGCTGAAATGAATGGTGACTGGTGGATCATATAGTAGTTCTATTTTTAATTTTTTGAGGAACCTCTATACTGTCTTCCATAGCCTCTGCACCATTTTACAGTCCCACCAACAGTGCGCGAGGGCTCTAATTTCTCCACATCCTTATTATTTGTTATTTTTTGTACATGTTTTTTTTAATAGTGTGTGAAGTGATATCTTTTTGTAGTTTTGATTTGCATTTTCCTGATGATTAGTGATACTGAACATCTTTTCATTGGGTATCTTCTTTGGAGAAGTATCTACTTAAGTCCTTTGTCCATTTTTTAATTGACTTAAATTTGTGTTGTTAAGTTCTGTATATAATCTGAGTATTAACTGCTTATCGGATATATGGTTTACAAATATTTTCTCCATTTTGTAGGTTGCCTTCTCATTCTGTAAATTGTTTGTATATGTTTGTTTGTTCGCTGCTGCACAGAAATTTTTAAGTTTGATATAGTTGCATTTGTCTACCTTTGCTTTCGTTGCCTGTGTTTTTGGTGTAATACTCAAGAAATCATTGCCAAATCCAGTGTCATAAAGCTTTCCCCGTTTTCTTTCTAGGAGTTTTATGGTTTCAGGTCTTGTATTTAGATCTCTAAACCATTTGAGTTAATTTTTGTATATGGTGTAAAGTAACAGCCCAACGTCATTCTTTTGCATGTGGATATCCAGTTTTCCCAATACCATTTGTTGAAGACTATCCTTTCCCCATTGTGTGGCGTTGGAACCTTTGCTGAAGATCATTTGACCATATATGCAAGGGTTTATTTCTGAGCTCTCGAATCTGTTCCATTGGTTTGTATGTCTGTCTTTATGCCAGTACCACACTTTTTAAAAACTGTAGCTTTGTAATATGTTTTAAAATCAGGAGCTGTGAGGCTTCCGGCTTTGTTTTTCTTTCTCAATTGTTTTGGCTATTTAATTCCATATGAATTTTGTAGTTGTTTTTTTAATTTCAACAATAAATGCTATTGAGATTTTGATAAGGGATTGCATTAAATCTGTAGATTGCTTTGGGTGGGATGGACGTTTTAATAATATTCAGGGTAGTAAAAAACTTTATTTATTTATTTATTTATTTATTTATTTATTTATTTATTTATTTATTTATTTTTGGTGTAGCCAGCTGGTCTGTTTGTTGTCTCCTCCCCACTGGATAGAGAGCAGTGCCTGGAATATAATATACACTTAATAAGCATTTGTTGATTTAATGAATGGAAAAGCACTTTGGGAATAGATGCTTTAAATATTCTGCTTTCTTATACTTAAAAAAATAAACAAGAAGTATCCCCCCCCCAAATTTAGATTTTCCTTGCTCCTGCTTAACTTGGAGGAATACTACTTTGAACAGCATACAGCTCATCATACTCAGCGGAAGGGCAGTCAGAATGAGAGGTAAGGAAGATTTTTGAATCTCTCTGGAATAGCAAACCTTTCTATCACATTAGGAAAGTAATGAGAAGAGGGAGATTTATAAGTTGCTGTCATACTCCAAATTTTTTCCAAAGCTAAGAATCTGTGTGTACTAATTCCTCCAAGGTTATGAGTATCTCACATCAGCTGGCTAGGACTCTGATTGCTGGTAGGAGGAAGGGGGGCAGGACTCAGACTGTAAGACTATATTTCTTCGTGTGGTGTTTTTTAGATACTATAAGTTTCCAACCAATAGATTATTTAACCTATATAGAGATACAGAAATAAATCCAAGAAGTGGAATTAAAAACCGTAAATCTAACATTTGAATTGATAGTCTTTAAAATTGCTTCTTATTATGGAACAGATTTTTTTCCTGAATTCCTACACATACCCCAAAATCACTGTTAAAAGTATTTTACATGCTAAATTCACACTCTTTATTTTTCCAGTACGATAAGTAAGAAAAAAATCTCTTATATAGTCAATTTTATATATTTAGTGTTGCCTTCTGAATAATTCTTTTAGATAGAGGGAATTAAAGTCAAAGGGATTTACTAGAGACAGAGTACAATCAGTGTTTTCTTAAGGATCAGTTTTCTGATCTTCGTTTCTTTCAATGTAGTTGTGAATTCCAAGTGAAGTAATACAGATAAAGCACATGGACAATGCTCACCAAATGAAACCATATTACAATACTTGCAAATTTTGTTACCCCCCCAGGAGATGGGGGAAATTATTTTGCTATATTTTCCAACCTTTCATGCCCTTCTCTTTAATTCTGTTGTTGATCTTTTATTAGTTGATGCATTAGCCATCTACTTGCTCATTCAAATATATTATGATTCTTTTGTGACTTTTGTTAATGTTCATTAATAATAATCCTTTGTACTTTGATCTCTAGGAGAGTCAGAGGCTCTTTAAAAATATGTTCAAAATCAGTTATTTTTGAACCAGATGCAATATCCCAGCCCATCATTAAGGTAAATGCATTGTAAAAATAGTGGCATTCCTGTTCTTTATGCATATTTTACCTTTGCTTATTTTTACATTTCTCATTTGACTTTGTCCAGATTCTTTTGAGAGACTGTATAAAAATAGGAAAACATGGAGAAAACGGAGCCAGTAAACACTTTGCAAAGTATGTCATTGTCACTAACTGTTTGATTTTACTTCTTCCAAAAAATTATACATGTTTAATAACTTTTATCTGCATTTTAGGGCAAAATCGGGAGGGATTGCGCTCATTTTCAGTCAGGTAAGAGTCACATAGTAAATATTTTGTCCTAACCTGAATGAACATTTTATGTGTGTGTGTGTTTATGCATGATTAAATTATTGTAGGAATCTCAAATGAAGGTTGTTGGAGTAGATGTTTAAATGTTTTTAAACAATTTGATCATTGAGAAGTATATATTTTTTTAAATGTTATTCCTAATGAGATCCTTAATGTTTATTAAGTCTGTGATACCTGCAAGGCTTGTGGTTTTGTCTTCAGGGGTCCTGGCCATGTTTGAGGGTTAAGATAAAAGGACTGCATTTCCTCCTGTGGGCCTTGTAGTCATTGAGAAGGTGGAGGTCAGCAGCACGCTGCTTAAATGGATCTCAGCTTGACACATGATGACAGCCAACGCAGTGACTCAGGATGTGCAGCCTTGTATAATTATGACGCTTGGGGTCATGACTTCTTATTCATTCCAAGTTTACTTGGCACACATTTATGTACCAGTACTGTGCTTAATACTGACAATACAGAAATAAAGTAAAGTATGGTTTTTCTCCTTTCATATAGTTAATTTGTCTGTAGATTTTTGAAAAATCGTAAATAAAGGAATAGAGATCATCTACCACTTTCCTTTGGCTCTGGACTTCACCTTCTTCATCTTTAAAATGAAAGGGTTAGAGGAGATCAGTGTGGCCTCAGCTATCAACTAGAGCCCTAGTTCCTTGAAGTGTTCAAAGAAAATTCTTTCTATGATCAAGTAAGTGTAGGAAAAGCAGTGGTAAACAAAAACACACAGATTTCTTTACTTCAGGACTTGACTCAAAGCCTTAACACACAGAAGTGCATTGAGAGTCAAGGAAGCAAATGGTTTGGAGCAGAGAGTGTTCCCAGAGGTTTTGAGATCACCAAACCCTTTGATCATGGAACACTTTTTAATGTATACTGAAGGTTATGTTATGAAAACTGGCAGATATCAAATTCAGTGATTTTTCTGGATCTACATCCATGATTTCATTAATTTTAAGGAAGAAAACATTGCACAGGCTATGTTTGACTTTATACTGTTTTAACTGGCATATATGAAAACAGTTACAGCTGTCTAATACTTTGGGGAGGGAACACCATTATTAATTCTGGTCTGCCCCTATGCTCTCCTTATTTCTAAAGTATTCTGCATTATTGCCTTATTCTAGAAGGTCTGTATCTTAAAAAGAGGAAGTGCTTTCTCAGTTGGAACTATAGTTTCCATTAGAAAAATAATATATTTTGGTAAATTTTAATAACTTTGGGCTTATAAATAAAGCCCCAAAGTCTCTCTACCTATTTTTAATAGTTTGTAGAAGAGGTCTTATATCAAATAAACTCAAAAATCAGCTTAATACCAGGGGGTGACTAAATATAAGCTACTCTTACAAGTATTATTTTAAGCTTCCTGTGTTAAGTGCAACAACCAAGAAATACAACTTTTATGTTTTTTCATTATTTACTAGGTCAGTGTTTCAGAAACACAATAGTCTCCCCTTATCTGCAGGGGATACATTCCAAGACCCACAGTGGATGCCTGAAACTGCAGATAGTGCCGAACCCTACGTATACCATATTTTTTCCTATACATCATACGTTTTTACTTAAAGGAAGCACTTTACAGCTTCTCTCTGACACATCTGAATTGCCAGCATCACTACTCTTGTGCTTTGTGCTATTAAATGAAATAAGGGTGACTTGCACACAAGCACTGGGATACCGAGACAGTCTCCTAATAACCACGAGGCAGCTACTACGTGATTCGTGGGTGGGTAGCGTATATAGTGTGGATACGCTGGACAAAGGGGTGATTCACGTCTTAGCTGTTTGGAGCAGGAGGGCATGAGATTTCATAATGCTTCTCAGAACAGCACATTAAACTTATGAATTATTTACTTTCCATTTAATATTTTCAGACCAAGGTTGACTGCAGGTAACTGAAACCATAGATAAGTGGAGATTGCTGTATATTAGGGTCTTTAGGATTTAGAGAGTTTTGCTTCCAAATTTTCTTTTACTGGTAGAATATAGAGTGTGAGTGTGTGTGTATGTAAATAATAGTTTTAATTCATGCAGTCAATAAGTATTATCCTCAAGGTTTCAGAGCTGTAGGGAAGAACAAAATAACGTGAATCCCCTCTTTCCATGGATTTTTCTTTTCAATGGGGGAAACAGATAAGAAGCAAATATCTTCTATAATGTGAAGTAGTGATAAATGTCATGAAGAAAAGGGAAACAGGACAAAAGGCTAGAATATGATAAGGGATACATGTGCTGCTCTAGACAGAATGGTCAGGGATGCCTTGCCAAGAAGGTCCCACTTGCAGGCACTCCACTCAGAAGGCAACTAATAGCAGTGTAAGGACAGGTGGCCAGGCCTGTGTAAGAGCACTGTGACCAGATCACATCTAGGGAAGTGACGTTTCTTTGTGTTAATTAATGTATTTCACGACATAGTAATTCGTTTTACCCATTTTTTAGAAACTGGCGCTTAGATTAGCTTCCTTCACCTGTCTACTTGGTTACTTGGTACAAATTGATGACATTCATAAAACATCTTAGATACTTTATTTATCTAGTAATGGTTGATCCCTAGTTGCCTTGATGTATTTCTTTTTAATTTAATATTTGTTATTTTAACATCAGAATCTTAAAACTGTACAGATATTAATGTAAGTGGTTTTGGAGATTAGAGATTATGTAACTGATTTAAATTCAATTCGTAATAACATAGTAACTTATTACTATGAAAATTTTTATTTTACAAATATTTATTTGTTTTTCTCAGGTATATTTCATTAAAGAACACAACATTGTTGCACCATATAAAATAGAAAGAGTAAGTAAAGCTTTTTATTCTCAGAATTTGAACAGTAAGATTTTGTGACTCTATTAACATCTTTAATCAGATATAATAATAATGAGTATTTAAAAGCTTGCTACCTAGTAGTTATAACAAAACTACCCAAGGGAATCACAGATTTTAGTCCAAGAGATTTCAATTAACTTTTTGACTTAAAGAAAAAAAGTGTATAATAGGTTAAAAAAAAAAAAAAAAAAGCTTAAATTATCAGAATAAAAATTGAAATCAGAACATACATCATTTATAAGATTACTTACTGGATGTTGTTGACAGTGTATTTTTTTTTTTTTTGAGAAATATGCGTTATAAAATACCCTTATTTGAGAGCTAAATAATAATTTATAAATTCTCTTAATTGAGTAGAAGCTGTGAGTAGACTTGAATACAATGTCTTGTTTTCCAGGACTTGTTAAGTAAGCTTAGATATTACATTTAACCATTCTGTGTTTTATTTAATTCTTTATGCTTCAGCTTAATGTATAGTAAAGGAATAATTCTACCAAAAGATAATTTTTACAAGACCTAGAGACAGGGCTGGTGCTTCTTATGATGACACCTCTGTGAAGTAGGGGAAGTTGTCCTCTCTGGGGAAACAGTCTCATAGGCTGATCTCAGTCCCAGTACAGGCCAGCCTGCAGTTTCTTGGCCAGCAGCTTGAGTGATGCATAAACTACATGCAGTGGCCTTTGGGTTTTACGTACAATAAATAGTTGCATGGGCCAGTTAGTCCGAAACTATAAATATTGAGATTTAATTACTCTCAGGTGGTGCTGTTGGCATTTTGGGCAGGATAGTTCTTTACTGTGTGAGGCTGTGCCTCATATTACAGCCTATTCCCACCCACTGAATGTCCTTCAACACTGTTCCCCCAGTGTGTGTAGCACCTGCATATAACCATGTTGAGAACCACTGCCTGGGGTGCCCTCTCTCTAAAGGTTCTCCTGATAGCCACCTGAAATGCAAAGCTTCACTTGGTCTGTTAAAAAATTATGTAAAAGGAAATGAGTAAGGTTGTCTGAAGCAAAGAAATAGTCTTTTGTTCCCATGTGAATTAGAAAACCAAAGGATTCTCAGATACAGAAAAGGGGTAAGATAGGGATATCAGTGATAACTCTGAGAGATGTCAGGTTAGGAAGCCCCAGGCCCTCATTCCTCTCATGGAGACACTTCAACAACCATAAGTGGACACCATAAATTTCTCACAAAGTTCCCTTTGTGAAATTCGAAACCAATTAAGTCTGCTGCACCCCAGGTTAGCATGAAATCAGCCTCACAGAAGCTAGTAGGAAATTTGTAGCTTTCCCCCAGCACAGTGCCATATGATTGGGAGGAAACTCCCAGCTCCCAGCTTCTCCCTTGAGGGGGAAGAAAACCCTGGATCATATGTCCACTGTTCTGACTTTTGGGGGCAGCTGCCTGAGGGACTGGCCTCTGTCTTGGAGCATAGACAGGATCTGGCCTACTCTAGATGTCTGGGGACCATGTAAAACAAGAAGGAGCTGGACATCGTGCTGCTGCTCCAGAGGACCTGGGTGTGATACAGCAGACAGAGGCCAATGCAGCGAAGCAGACTCACCATCAGGGGAAAGAGAAGAGGAGATCATGTGACACACAAAATTAGCTATCACAACATATATGCACCCAACCTCAATATATGGACCTAAATATATGAAGCACACTGGCAGAATTGGAGGGAGAAATTGATGGCACCACAGCAATAGTAGGAGACTTCATACCCCACTTCACTAATGGATAGAACATCCAGACAAGATTTAATGAGGAAACAGAGGACTTAACACTGTAGACCAAATGAGCCTAACAGACACACTGAGAACATTCTTCAGGGTTGATCACATGTTAGGCGACAAAACAAGTTGTTTTTTTGTTGTTGTTTTTAATTGATTTTTAGAGAGAGGAAGGAAAAGAGAGAGAAACACTGATGTGGGAGCGCAACATTGATTGGCTGCCTCCTGCATACCCCCCACTGGGGATCAAGCCCTGAACCCGGACATGTGCCCTGACCAGGAATCAACTGGCAACCTTTCAGTGCATGGAACGATCCCCAACCAACTGAGCCACACCAGCCAAAGCCAAAACAAATTTTAATGAATTTAAGAAGATTGAAATCATACCAAGTATCTTTTGCAACCACAATGAAATGAAACTGGAAATCCATAGCAGAAGGCAAATTCACAAGTATATGGAAATTAACACTCTTGAATAACCAAAGAGTCAAAGGATAAATGTAAAGGGAAATTTAAAAATATCACAAGACAAAAATACAACATATCAAAACTTACAGGATGCAGCAAAAGCAGTACTAAGAGGGAAGTTCATAGTGATAAGCACCTACATTAAAAAAGAAGAAAGATCTCAGATTTTAAAACCTAACTTTACACCTCAAGGAACTAAAAGAATAGCAAACTAAGCCCAAAGTTAGCAGAAGCAAGGACATAATAAACTTAGCGGTAAATCCGACGGGCTGTGCTGCCTGGAGCTCTTGATCTGGGTGGTGTGGGGTAGGACACACCAGGCCGAGGTGTGCGGTGGTAAGCCAGGGAATTGCAAACGCTCTTCAGGGACTTCTTTTGACACGCTTCGTCTCTTCCATTGTTACCCTTTTCTCATCAGGGCACAATGGAATATGTCTTTGAATTGGATGTTTCAGGGAAAGTGGAAGATGTTGTGGAGACGTTGCTTCAGGTAAGCCAGTGCCTTACTAGGGCATTTGGGCAGAGAATTCAAAACAAACTCAGGCAGGAACTATTTTTTTAATTTTATATTTATACATCTTACTGAGACCCTAGTCTCTTTTATAAATATGAATCAGATTTACTTGATTATGCTGAATTTAAAAACTGTATCAGGAAGAAGCCATACATATATCACAAGCTATCTTAACTGTTACTAAGTAACAGAATGATTGCTGTTTTTCATTGCGTCTAAGGAAATATCTTTATATTGTAAAAGAAAAAATAAATTCATGTATGTTTATAATATTGTAGCTTCACAGAGCATCCTGCCTTGACAAACTAGGGGACCAAACTGCTATGGTAAGAGTTTCTAAAAATCTGCATCTTTATTATGAATTAACGTGTATTGATTTTTACTTACAAATACTTATATCCATACTTTTTAAATGATCTTGTTTTAATAGATAACAGCTATTTTGCAGTCACGTTTGGCTAGAACATCATTTGACAAAAACAGGTAAGTTTTTAATGATTTTGTTTACTGGTTATAAAAGTATCTGTTTGCCTCGCTCAGCATGTCCAGACTGATGTTATCCTCTGCCTCACCCCAGACCTGTGCATCTCAGTGCAGCAGCAATGTCAGGGGCTTCCTCCACTGTTCTTCATCCCGGCATCTGTCAGTCAGAAAGGCCTGTAGACCGATACTCTCTAAGGTCTTTCTGGCCTGTCAGCTTCTGCCTTTCACACTGTTATTGCCTCAGTGCAGGCCACCGTCACCTCCCACTCAGAACACTGTGAGCTTGTCTACTTGACTCCAGGCTTTCCTTCTCCAATCCTCTTTTCCCCACTGTACGTATTGTGCTTTGAAAATAAGTTCTTTCTAAAGAACTTATTTAATTTTATCACTTGTCTGTTTACACTCTTCAAGACTTCCCATTGCCTTCAAGGTGAAATCTTAATCTTAGTTGGTGCGCAAACCACTTACTTCTAGCCCTTGTTCACGGCTCTGATTCCGTGCTCCAGCTCTTTGCGTTACGCGCGGTTCCTGAGTGTACCACGTGGTCTCTCGCCTCTGAGCCTTACTTAGTACATGGCCCGGCTACTGACAGTGCTCGGCTCTTTTGCACCTGGCTAACTCTGCCTTATTCTTCTGGTTTCACCATAGCTGTCAGTTCCTCCGGAAAGTCTTTCCTGACCCTTCATATTGTGGCAGGTACCTTTCGGAGATATCCTATAGGGACCAAGAGGCTACAATTTTAGTGGTCTCATGTGTTTTTTAATTATTATTACTGATTTTCTTAGCTTTCCTGAGTATACAGTGTATTTTCTGAAAACAATTATACTTTAATATTAACCTGTCCTTTATTTTTTCCTACATTTCCTTATATTAGGTAGATTTGGGCTATTTGTCTGCATCTCCATCTATAGTACTACAGTATTCATGACTGAAGCTTTATAATTACTATAACTTGATATCTGGTAGTGCAGGGCCCCACACTCTATTTCCTTTTTAAGTATGTCTTCACTGTTCTTGCCCTTATCACTTCTATATAAATTTAGAATCAGCTTGTCAAGTTCCATAAAAGAAAGCCTGCTAGGACTTTGACTGTGATTATAATGAACCTCTCTATTTACTTAGGTCTTCTGTAATGTCTTTCGTATGGTTTTTGTCATGAAGGTCTTTCCTGTCTTGTGCTAGATTTATTTCAAGTAATTTATATTTTTTATGGTGGTGTAAATGCTATCTAAAAAATCTTCATTTTCTGTTTATTGTCGATATGTAGAATGCAGAATTTTCTTGTATTCATTTTGTTTTCAGTAACCCTGCTAAACTTTATGATCAGTTTCATTAACTGTACTTGTAGGTTCTTTAATATGTACAGAATCTCACGTATGAATTATTTCAGTCTCTATTCATTTTTCTTTTAGATTTTTGCATTTGTAATCATTCCAGCTTAGGACAAAGGAGAAAGTATTGGTTGAATAGATTCATTTATAGATTATTATGTGCTAGGCTTTTGCTAGAAGCTCCTGTTTGTAAATGCAATTAGTTTGTAATACTCCGTTTTATTGCTGTCTTTGTGAGATCTGTGACCTTCAAAACTTGCCAGTAAAACCATCTGTCCAGTGATGTGTTTTCTGTGTCCATGTTTGCTTCCTTTCCTGTCTCACCTGTATGGCACTCATTTTCTTTCCATTTTTATACTTGTAGGATATACTAGGTAAGTGGATTGCCCTGAAGAATAGCTTCCATCTTAGAAAGGAAAAGGAATAATAAGAACGGGCTTCTTTTGACCTACTTAGAATACATACTTTCTCTAAGTGGTGATTTAGACTTCAACCCTGGACGTTAGCATAACATGACTTTTAAAAATTATTCACTGTGAAAGTTTTAAGCCTGTTAACATAAAATTGATTGACACATATTTTGTATATTATATGTATTATATACTGCGTTCTTACATTAAAGAATGCTAGAGAAAAGAAAATGTTATTAAGAAGATCATAAGGAAGAGAAAATACACTTATGGTATTTATTGAAAAAAATCCTCATGTAAGTGGACCCTCATAGTTCAAACTGGTTGTTCATGAGCCAGCTGTACTTTGGCACTGACATTCAAGTTATTGTAATTGTGTATTCATAGCCTTATGAAGTGTAGTGTGAAATAAATGTTACCTGAGCAAAAATGGCCTATATGACTATAAAAGTAGGCCTTAATGACAGAAAAATAGAATATTTTGTTAATTTAAGAATAGTTTCTACATCAGTTTATTTTGGAAGGAATAAGAGTTGAGCTAAAAGGTTATTTGACTTCATTTACTTGTCTCTCTTCCCTTCCTCATCTGTTTTTTAAAACTTGAATTTTCATTATACCATTTAAAAGAATGTCAGTTTTATTTAAGTGAACAATTTATATTACCATTTATTTTGTATTCAGTCAGTGTTTATACAAATTTTATGCAAAGTCATGCTGTAGCTCTCTTAGATAAAGTTAAACCTAGAAAGTAAATCAATTCCTAATTTTTTAAGTTTTCTTTTGCTTTTGCTGAAATTATCAGATTCCAAAGTGTTTCTGAAAAGCTGCACATGGAATGCAAAGCAGAAATGGTGACCCCTCTGGTGACAAATCCTGGACACGTGTGCATCACTGACACCAACCTATATTTCCAGCCTCTCAATGGGTACCCAGTAAGTGAAGACTGCAGCGTCAGATGGAGAGAGAGCTCCTTTAGCCCTGGGATTCACCTCACTCTCTCTTTCTTGTGAACTTGACTTCACCGTCACAGTGTTCTCACATTTTGGCGAGGATCAAAACTACCTCCCAAGCCCCCTTCATCATCTGTCTGTGTTTTAACAGGCTCCCTGTGTAATCCTAAGGAATCTGAATGTGAGCTCTTCTAATCTGCTTTCATTTTGGGGTCACTTGCTCTTGGTGTTGTGAAAAGAAACCCTGCCCATCTCAATTTTAGTGAAGGGTCATGAGAGTTTTATACCTTTCTACTCAGAGGCACTTCTGAAAGAAACAAATGAAATACGTTAAGATGAAGAAAAAGTGAATGTTTTCTGTGTATCTGATTATATGTATGCCTATGTTGGTACTTCTTGTTTTTCCTTTATTACCAACAAAGTCAGTAGCTTTGAGTCTTTCCCAGAGAAGGAGTTTGAAGGGTCCTCTCCCAGCGAGAAGAGGTGCAGCAGAGATGCTGCAGATGGGCAGCTGCAGTGCTCCTAAGTGACGGTGGAGCCAGTTCTCTTTCATAGTAACTTTAGGCTTAGTAGGCCAGGAAATAAAGACAAACTCGGATGCCCACACTAAATCTTATAAAGATGTGCTGCTTTATCTAGATCCAGCCTCTTTTGGGATTGGCTCATTAAAAGAACAAAAATCCTAATACACTCTGATGGTGCCTTTGGACCATTTGGCAGGGCAGCTTAAAGACAGCCTTCCTGTTGAAGGCTGTACCCTGGAAATGCTCTGGGCTTGTCAGTTATTATATGTCTAATACTTTAATAAAGTAAAAGATGATGCTATAATAATTCTGTCCACCAGGTGGTGGGCCATGCTCTCCAAACCCTCCAACAGAAGCAGTACACACTGCTGATGGTGTAATAAATTGGCTTAACTACTGCTGTTACTGTAGGTCAGGGTAAAAAACTTTTGGCAGAATATCTGAGCATGTGCCATAGCTTCAGGATCCATAGTGTGAGCATTGATCCCTCCCACTCAGAAGGAGGGAAATGAACTTGTCACCTTTTAGCCAATCTTAATTGCCTCATTCCTCTTACTAGCGTTTTAAGGTTTTTAGAGAAGCAAGAAAATTGCCCTCCTCATAAAAGAAAGAAAAAGTTTAGAGGTCCTCCTTTATACTACAGTTGTTTGTGAGCCTTAATACACTATAGTTTTTAAGGAGACAAAAGACAAGATTCTAAAAAAGGATGAATCAGCACTAAGCAAACCATTGCTCTACCAAAGAATAGCAAAATCCCCGAGAGGCCCTCTACCAGTCCTCTAGTGTTCTGTATCGCTCAACAACCTCTCAGTAACCTGAAAGATGAATGCATTACCGCATTTTTTGGTACGAAATGGAAGTCAGGAGACTTGTCCAAGGTCATAAAACAAAACAGGGCAGACTAGAATGTAAAACCAGATATGCCTTGTTCAGGATCTCCCTTTCCAGTTCACTTTGTATCATGTCAGGAAGGCAAGATTTGATCATCTTATTCTGCTTCCTGATACTAAAGATCAACTTCTAATTGTGTCAGTGTTGACGTTTGACATTGTCTTTCCACTTTTACAGAAACCTGTGGTCCAGATAACACTCCAGGATGTCCGCCGCATTTACAAAAGGAGACATGGCCTCATGCCTTTGGTGAGTGCAAGTGGAATGTCAGTTCTAGGTGAACGATTGTCCTGTTCTCAGTTTAACCAGTGGTTTATTAACTTATAAACACCTATGGCATGTCTGAAAAGTGTATGTTGTATTATAAGCAAGTGGACTCTTGAGTCCTGCTGCTCTTTCTTTTTGATGAACTAGAAATTTATAAAGAAGGTAGCTCCTTTTTCTACATAAGAGGGCTGGCATGAAAATGTTTTTGCCTCCAAGAGTGAGAGAGGTAGGGTACACTGCCTCAAGTTTTTAAATCCTGTGTTCTCAGAGTTCCTGGGTTCATGCAGGGATAATGTATGCAGAACAATCCAGTGTGACTTGCCACCATCTGTTCACAGCAGCTATTTCTCAGAGTAAAATTTGGAAGCTAGTACAAAATTAACTCTTCAGTGGAACTATAGTATCTTCAGTTAGCTCAAAGTAATTCAGCCTTCAGCTTGGCAAGTGAGGGGAATGAATAAAATAACCAGTTACATCAAATGGGCAGTTCTTCCCACCATTCCCCTAAATGAGCATATGTCTGTACCTTTGTTAGTCTTACATGCTGACCTGAGAAACCAGTCCCCACATAAGGTGTGATTCCAAGGTGTTTCAATTTGACATCAAAATAAATTCATATGTTCTCCTTTGAAGATGAACCAGTAACCTGGTAGCATTCCAAAAGCACTGTGGAATGTTAAGCACCTCATTTTTGTTTCATATTTGTGAAATTTACCTGTTTTCTTACCTGTTTAAGAGACTGCTCTTCACTTCTAGTGCTAATAGAGGGTTATGGAAACATACTATTAAAAATCTCTTTTGGGTATAGAAATACTGTCAGAAAAACAGAAGAAACTGACATTAAGTGTCTTCTGTGCACTGGGTAATTTATGTACAATATTCTGTTATCATTCCAGTCCCTATGAGGTAGATGATATCCTGTTTTATAAAGAAATAGAGATTCTAAGAGTTAATTTCCTCTGTTCCTTAACTAATGAATGGTGAAAGCCTCTATTTGAACCAAGGACAAATCCGCTTTCGCCATTTCTTTGTCTATTTCTGTCCTGTCTCGGCCTTACCAAAACAACATTCACAAAGCTCATAGTTTTCTTAAGAATAACTGCAAGTAGCCCTGGCCGGTGTGGCTCAATTGGTTGGGCATCTGGTCAGGGCACATGCCTGGGTTGCCAGCTAAAGCCCCAGTAGGGGGCATATAGGAGGCAGCTGATTGATGGTTCTCTCTCCCTCTCCCTTCCTCTTTCTCTCTAAAACCAATAAAAACGTACTTTTTTAAAAAAATAAATAACTACAATTCTTATTCAGTTATCAATTTGTTAGATTGACATAATCATTTAATTATAAAAGAAAGTTAAACATTTGTATTTGAAGATGTGTGAAGACATGGATCAGCCAATTTTGAATTTCAAAATACTAAATTCACAGAAGCTATTACCAATAAAAATATTCAACACCCAGAGGGATTTCATGCAGCTCTCATTCTCAGGAAATTTACATGTATGTATGTATGTATGTATGTATGTTGCCGAATCAGACTTAAAGCTGGAGAATGTGAATACAAGACCTACAGGTAAAAAATGTAGGCTCTCAGTTGGAAGGCTTCTGTAGCCGTGTAGTTACATTGCAGCTGCAAGATCAGTAAAATGTGATCTGATTTATCCTTTTGTTTCTGAACATATAGGGCTTGGAGGTGTTTTGCACAGAAGATGACCTGTGTTCCGACATCTACCTAAAGTTCTATGACCCACAAGATAGAGATGACCTCTATTTTTATATTGCCACGTATCTAGGTTTGGTGCTCACCCTTCATTGTATCTATTCCTGCAACAGTAGTTCAACTCCTAAGTAACTGGGATATGAATAAGAGAAAAGAAAAATGCTGTGTCTAGAATTGCCTCTCTGTGATTCTACTTATTTCTTCTCGTTAGTAACTATAGTTGGCAAGATGGGGTTTTAAAAACGAAGGGAAACGTAAATGAATTTTGGTAATAGTTTACTCCAGTTGTGTTTTAAAAACTTGATAAATATAGTTAAATTTTTTTTGTATTTTAACAACATAGCAGTTGAATGGATTGTAAAGACTCCGCTTAATTATTTTTATGTCCAGTCATGTCTTATATTAGTTTCTTAAAACCAAGATTCAGTTTCTCGGTGTGAGACAGTGAGTTATCCAGTCTTGTTTGTGATCATTAACTGTAGTCTTAATCACGAAGCTAGAAAACAATACAAAAGGAACCGTGAACCTCTAGGCTCAATATAGTACTGGGGGACTGAATTTGCTTTAATTAATATTTCTTCAGTCTTTCATGGAAAGTGTGAATTTTCCCACCTTTGTTAGAGAGAACACCTGTATTTTTCTTTTCACACATAAATATATTAATTTGTATGGTAAAATGTAATTATTCTTTACAAAGTTGCTAGATGACTAGAATAGAATGATCTTTGTAAAATGGATGTTAGGATTTTATTAATACCATCTTAATTTTGTTTGCTCTTCTTGTGTACAGCGAAGCCATTTAGGAGATCTATAGTGATGTACTCCCTTAGGAATGACATTTTCCCTCAAGGAGGAATAGTTTATTTTCAATAAGGAATATATCTTATTTTATAGGAGGTTTAGAGTTTATGTTTTTTTCTTCTCACATTAAGCTATTCAGATTAACAATGCATAAGTAAGTATAGCTTTGGTACAAGTTTACTGTTACCTCCTGCCTCCTGATTTAATTTTTTTCATTTTATTTTTCTAACTCTAATAAGGTTATAACAAAAAACTCAACTTTCATGGTGAGTCCTAAAATCTCAGGTCAAAAAACTTGCCAGGACCTAGTCTGTCTCCTGCAAAGCTGTTCATTTTCTCCGAGTTTATTTCTAGCATTGTTCAGACTTTTCTCTAAAGTGTTCTGAGAACTGAAAATGAGGAGAATAAGGTTTTTTTAATTTTTAAAGCCCTTTCCCAGTATCCGATTAGAGAAGAAACTTGATAAAGTTAAATAAGAATAAATGTTGAATCAGTAAATGAGTTAGATAAGTTGCCTGATACAGCCATTAAAAAGTTTGAAAGCAGAATTTTTTGAACAAAATAGAACAGTTGGCTCGTTTTATACTCTGAAAGGAAAGTTCTCATTGGTGCCATGTAACCTGTGGTTCCAGTTTCCTGCAGTATTTCTGGGGCTGATCTTTCTGGTTCCAGTTTGCAAAGTCACGTCTTCCTGTCAAACACCGTTTTTCTCCATGAACAATTTTCTTGTCCCTCACATGCATGAATAATACTGTCGTCACTGAGAAATTAGCAGTGTGCAGCTCTTCCTGATCTGAAAGAAGACCAAAAGATTATTTTATTTTACATTCATAAAAATGGAGAAAGTATACTTTTACAAATGGACATGGCTTAAAGGCATTCAACTCAAGCACGTTTGGAAGGATTCTTTGTTAGTTACGTACTATCACCTATATATTGTAACATAGTAAATATTATATATTGTTACGTAATGTTTATATATTTGCTCTATACTTTTATATTACATATTTTATATATGTGATATGTTTTGTATCATGTATTTAATAATTTTCCCTCCTAGATCTTTGAGATATTTATACTTAATAGAACAGCTATTCAGTGAAAACAAACTGTACCCTGCCTTTGTGTTTCTTAAAATGTATTTTTCAAAAATGCATTGAAGGGACTACATTTAAAGCATCCCGTGTTTACATGCTAAGTAAAACCTAGTCACCATTTGCCAAGTTCATTGGTGACCTTGCGGGCCCTGTCCTCCTCAGAGCACCACGTGGCGGAGCGCACGCCCGAGAGCTACACCCTGCAGTGGCAGCGTGGGCACCTTTCCAACTACCAGTACCTGCTGCACCTCAACAACCTGGCAGACCGCAGCTGCAATGACCTGTCCCAGTACCCGGTGTTTCCGTGGACAATCAGCGATTATTGCAGTTCAGAGCTAGGTAAATGCCACAAAGCTACATTTTTAAAGGAGAAAAAAATATTCCATTGTAAAATTATAATGTGATCTTTGAACAGATTAGAATCTATTTTGACTTTATTACTACAGATTGCCAATTTTCATTTCAAGATACTGGGTGTTATATAAATTATATGTGATTTATATGTTTTTTCCACTGTCTCTTAATTTTTTTAATCCCCAAAAAAGTACTCACATACTTCTTACAGGACATACCCAAAAATATGGGTATAATTTTAAGCCACATTATCATTATTACCTATAAGTACCAAGTTTTGAAATACTGTTGCTTTTCACTTTGAAAATTTTCTCAGATTATCCTATTTTAAATTTACATTAAAAATGTGATTATTGAACTAATAACTATTCATTATAGAACATTTAGAATGTACTGAAATATTTTTAAAAGGAAATAAAAATCATCATTAATTACATTACTGAGAGGTAGCGATTTTAATTTTGTGGTATATGTACTTCTTTCAAATTATTTTAACAAAAATAGTGACTGTATTGTAATTTTTTTTGGTAATATTTTAAAATTATTGTGAACAATTCCTTTTGACAGTTCACTTATTGAACTCTTGTTCTTGAAAAAGATAACAGATTTTCTAGGAATATAATAATTTATTTCTCTGATTATATTCAGGCCTCCAGTTCTCAAACTATGCTATTATTACAGAATAATATATTTGCTGTAATTCAAATTTTAAAAGTAAATCTTAGTAGAAGAAGAATGGCTTCTAAAATTCGCTTATTTTTTTGTTATTTTACTTGGAATATAATTTTTTGTTAGGAGGCCTTTTTTAAAAAAATAAATAATCGTGGTGTTTCCAAATTAGAAATTACTCTTGAATGGCTGTTGGTAAATTAAAACTCAAAAGTTCTCACCTTGCCGGGTGTGGCTCAGCAGTTGAGCATCGACCTGGGATCCAGGTGAGCAGCGTACGATTCCCGGTCAGGGCACATGCCCGGGTTGCAGGCTCAGTCAATGACTCTCTCATCATTGATATTTTTGTCTCTCTCTATCTCCTTTCCTCTCTCTGAAACCAATAAAGATATATTTTTTTTTAAAAAAAGTTCTCACCTTTACAGCTATCAGAAATAGTATAATTCTAATAGATCTGTTTTAGTTTTTAAAAAGCTATTTATTTTGTGGAAATAAATAAATGTATACACATGAATCAGTCCAGGGAGGTAATGTTATTAAATATAAACTTGCTTGCTTTATTTATTATAATTAAATTTTTAAAATGTATTTATTTATATAGATTTGTCAAATCCAGGAACCTTCCGGGATCTTAGTAAGCCAGTAGGGGCCCTAAATAAGGAGCGGCTGGAGAGACTACTGGTAAGTGGACTTAAGGATTCTTGGTCTGTAAGGAACTTCTGAGCCATGGCCTATGTTTTTATAGTAACTGAAACTCATCAAGACTTAGGGGAAATATGTCCAGAGTGATCATGTTTTTTTCTTACTTCCCTCCCCCTCTACATTCGCCAAAGAATTTAGCTGCTCACCATTTGCATTTTTTGCCTACAATTCAGGAAGTATATAGCTGCTCACCATTTGCATTTTTTGCCTACAATTCAGGAAGTAGGAGGCTGGCCTGATCACCAGTTTAGTAACTTACTTTCATGAAGGTGTTCTCTGGTAAATTGCACAAGAGACTCACGAAATCCCTTCTGTTCAGTCCAGCCCCAACACTGTTACCACTGTGCCAAGAAAACCAAAATACTTTTCACAGGAATGCTGCATTTATTCAAACTTTCCACCCCTCTTCTTATCTTTCCTTTTCCTATTTAAGAAAGAAATTAAAGGGTATAATATAGTCATGCCATGATTTCTTTTAGGCTTTTACCGCATGAGTCAGTTGTTATTTTCATAGCCCACATTTAGTAGTATTTTTTCCTGCATATTGTAGACACGCTACCAGGAGATGCCAGAGCCAAAGTTCATGTATGGCAGTCACTACTCTTCCCCGGGTTATGTGCTGTTTTATCTTGTCAGGATTGGTAAGGTTTTTTATCATTACCCAAGTCAATGTTATTTCACAAGGACTCTGCAATGAATCTGTATCTCATTAACTCTGATTTTTCCCTCTAGCCCCAGAGTATATGCTGTGCCTACAGAATGGAAGATTTGATAATGCAGATAGAATGTTCAACAGGTCTGACATAAATGCCTCACCTACCATTTATAAAACTTCCTCATTATATATGTACAATATGTTTGTTTCAAAAAACTGTATAGGACCAAAAATGTAAAGATATGCAAAAAAATCACTAATTGTTATATCTATTCCTTTTAGGCTTTTTCTGTGTGTGTGTGTGTGTGTGTGTGTGTAAATGTGAGAACATATTTTAAATACAGATTTTTGTCCTGCCTTTTGTACCCTCATATTAGATCTTGAAGTTCTTCCCGTATTTTTAGATGTTTTTTCAGAACAGTGTCATTTTTTAAGTCATTATATCACATCCTGATGTATGCCAGAATATATTTTTAATTATTTCTCTATTTTTGGACATTTAGAATGTTTCCAACATTTCATTATTTTAAATAATTTCGCTATGAATTGAATACAATTCCCTGAGAGTGTGTAAATATCTTTTTTAAATTATAAAAGTAATATTTCTTTACCAAAAAAAAAATACAAAGAAGAAAATAAAGTTCACTTGGCATCTGGCCATGCTGAGGGAGCATTCATTGTTAATCTTTGGTCTGTGTCTTTCCAATCATTGTTTAAGCTCTACACATATTTATTTATAATTCCTTTTTGAGATGAGCTATTGAAATAGTTGTGCTAATTTTCTAGTGTTTAAGTACCTGCCTCCATTGGTCCTTCGATGAGTCAAATATGTGTGTGGAGGCTCGTGGCATGGGTCTGTGTTCTGACTCCACACTCACTACCGTGTGAGCCTAGAGAATTTTTCTCTTCTGTAAAAGGGGGATACACATGGATGTTGAGAATTCTGAGTTAATGAGAGAAATGAATTAATATAGGTAAAATGTAGAGCACCTAGGTGCAGAGACAGTGCTGTGATTGCTGTTTCTATACCCCAGAGTTAAAATCGGTTTAATTTGGTTTTTTTATTTATGTTTAGTATTTCAGAAACTTGGAAAAATTGTTTGGATGGTGCTACAGATTTTAAAGAGGTAAGCAGTTTAAAAAGCTAATGATTCACTAGGCTGGTGGTTTCTAACTGCTTTAAAAAATGTTTGTTGCTCTTTTTTTTTTTTCCTTCCGGAACCTTCAGTTGATTCCAGAATTCTATGGTGATGATGTCAGCTTCTTAGTCAATAGTCTGAAGCTGGATTTGGGGAAGAGACAAGGAGGGCAGATGGTAGATGATGTGGAACTTCCGCCATGGGCACAGAGTGAGTACCTCGGAAGTGTTGCATTGTATAAGTTCTTTACGTGGTAATGCAGTTTCAGTGGTATTAATTATTTAGTTGCCTAGATTTTTTTAAATAACAGCATAATTCTTTGCCTAAATAAGGCAATGTCAGTCGTATTCCAAATCAAAAATACTGAGTCTATGATGTAAAAATACTGACTTATATTTGAGAGACCTAAATGTTGTGAAAATGATTCTTGCCACTTTCTCCTGCACAAAATTTATGTTATATGATGGGGGCAAAATGTCATTAAGAAATTTGTGCCTGTTGCCTATCCTAGAAGCTTTATGTACATGTGGATAGATGAAAGAAATTAGAGAAAATAAAATGGACGCTGTCATGATTAGATTGATTTGAGTGTAATCTAATAGGTCCCGAGGACTTTCTTCAGAAAAGCAAAGATGCACTGGAAAGCAATTATGTATCAGAGCACCTTCACGAGTGGATTGACCTAATATTTGGCTACAAGCAAAAAGGAAGCGAGGCTGTTGGGGCCCATAATGGTATGTAACAGTCATTGAAAGTTCATACAGTATTTGATGAAAATGAAACAATCAAAAAAAAAAAACACACACAAAATGAGGGCAGAGCCATCAAACTTATTTCTTCAGCAGAAGCATCTTATATCAGCAAACAGTGCCAACTGGCTCCGTGACCCTGGATTAGATACTAAGTAATAGGAGGAGAAACTTTGGCCTAAAGAACATCTATTTCAGCATGATCCCAAGAGGTCTTTTTCTAAAGTCTTAATTTTAGTGTGTACTTTCTATCCTATTCAATAATTTCAATTAAAAGTCAATCAGAACATGATGGAACAGAGACCTCAGTTGCTATGAAAGGCCCCAAAGTTTCTTTTGAATTGAGCTAAAAGAAACCAGTGGTAATACAACTCATCAGTTTCAGTTCTTACCTGTTTCCAGGTTTCTCAGTGTTGATGACAAGGAGGTGGAACTGGACGTTCAGGCCTGATTTCTCACAGCCTGAGCAGAGGGCCTTTTCCCCTCAGGGGAAAATAACGCTGACTGAGAAATACGCTGAGATATCAGGTCCTCTTACCTGTCAATTAGATTTCTGCTCAGCAAAAGATAATTCAAATTAATATTTACTGAAGTTAGATATTATTAGTCTGTTTTGCAAAGTGAAAGTCAGTTACTCTGAATAAAAGTTTAAAGTTGTTGGATTTTAAAATTCTGAACAGAGTGTATAACTCGAAGGTACATCTTTCAATGGTGTTTTACTTCTCTCTTTTCAGTATTTCATCCCCTGACCTATGAAGGAGGTGTAGACTTGAACAGGTACTTATGTCTGTAAGGAGTTTCTACTTGAGTTACAAAATGCCTCTTTAACTAAATGATTATTACTCTTATTTGATAATATTAAGGTATGGAAAATTTACAGTGAATTATATCTTGCTTATACCATTATGTGAGTTACTGAGCCTCAGAAATCTTTCAAAAAGTTTGTGATAAGGTTTAGACAATCCTGACAAACACTGTTAGTGTTTGAAGCTTTCCTGTCGACCTGTATTATTTGAAATGTGTGCTTTCAGGAAACTGGAACCTAGTTGTTCACTGCATTATTTGTGTTCTGTCCTAAAGCATCGAGGATCCTGATGAAAAAGTAGCCATGTTAACCCAAATCTTGGAATTTGGGCAGACACCAAAACAGCTCTTTGTGACACCACATCCTCGAAGGATCACCCCAAAGTTTAAAAGTTTATCCCAGACCTCCAGTTATAACACTTCCATAGCAGATTCTCCAGGTAAATTTTGCAAAGAGAATAAACGTGAGCACCTTTTGCTTTTCTTTGATTAAGATGTTTCTGACAATTCTGAAAGGGAACATGAACTGTTGTGTTGCTTAGAGATCATTGTTTTACCATCTTATTTCGGTTCTCCTAGGGGAAAAAAAACACCTGTTTTTGTTGTTTTGTTTGTTTTTAACTATTGACTTTAAAGACAATCAAGTTACTTTTATTCTCTGGTCGTTTGAAACCTGGCTGTATTTTTATTGTTATTTTTATGGTTCTGTTTCTGCTCTGTGCTTTTCCATGCTGCTGTTCAATTCTGAGCTATTCCCCTTTTATTGATGTGCCCCGCCATGGCCGCTTTAATAGTCACCCTCCGCCCTACTCCTCCCCAAAATTTCTTCCTCCATCTCCAGTTCTCTTCCATCCCCAGCTTCAGATCTTGAATTCAAGGTGCTCTGTTTTCTTTATTTGTATTTTCTTATTCAAGCATTTGACAACATTTGCTAAGAATCTTTTCTGCGTCAAGCATATGCTAGGTGCTGAGATGAACTTGTCGCTATTCTCACATCTAGTATTTGGAAAGGATAGGATGTACCCACCCCTTCATCCAGTTATCCGTGTTTTATGTTTCACATACGACAGCTCCACCCTCGGGAGTTTGGGGGCAAAACCACTTGACTTCTTATCTCCAGATCTGATGTCTGTTCCAGGCACATTCAAACTTCATGGCACACACAGCTGAGCGTGCTCTCAGGTGTGGGGGAATAGCTCTCTAGTGACCCAGGGCTGGCCAGAGATAACCCCACAGAGTTAAGTCGTAAAGGCCATAGGATTATCTTGTGATGCCTCTTAAACCCGTGCTCTGCTTACTCACCAGGCCCATACCACTGTATTGTGATTATTTTAAAGGGTAATTGTTCCAGGCCTTCTGAAAACAGAAGGGAAGAGATTACTTAGTCTTGTCCAGGAGCACTTGGGGTAATTGCTTTCATCTCTGCTTTCTGCCCCTCAAAATCAAAACAAAACTGCAGCATTCTCAGGTGTTTGCGAAGAGTACTGACAAGGAAATGGTTATTCAGTCTTTTATTTCCTGAGGTTCCTAAATTAGGGGCAAACATTGGTAAAAGTATAAAAATACTCTAGTACTTAAATATACTTTTTAATCTTTCTCCAAATATTTTTTATTTTATTTAGATCATATACCTTCTTGTTCCTTGACTTAAATGAAATTATCTAACAAGTACATTTCAAAGGCAAGATATTTTGGTGGGATATTTTGTTTTCTTGGTTGTCTGATTTTAATGAAAGTATCGTGACTTGGTGACTTGTTATTTATGATACTTGTTAGTAATGTAGTTGACTCGCTCAGCAGTAATTTAATATCCTCTCTCCAGGTGAAGAGTCTTTTGAGGACCTGACTGAAGAAAGCAAAACACTGGCCTGGAGTAACATCTCAAAACTGCAGTTGCACGAGCAATATAAAATCCACAAAGAGTAAGAATGTCTGTTGTGCTTGCTGAAGCTGAGGCCTTGGCCTGGGGTGAAATTGTTTTAAGCCAAGTCAAGGGGGAAGTTCTCTTTCAGTGTCATCTTGATTGATTTTTATCTCCCCAAATGTTTATAGTGATCGGCCACCTGAGGACTGTGTGGCAAGGGAACTTGTGGCACAAAATGGGTTGGGTCAGCCTACCATGTTGTGGTTTCCATAGTCGGTCCATCTAGAATTTTTTAAATAATGCCTGTACTTCTAAGACATTAGGCTTGCTGCTGGATCTGGAGCCCTGTCTTCTACTATCAAGGATATTTTTATACTTTGGTCAAAAGACTTGAGAAGCACTGAAGTCACCCGATCCATCCTTTTACATACAGATGAGAAAACACAGGCCCAGGCCAGGCCCGTTGCCCTACTCCAGGACCATAGACATCCTGTCTGACATTTTGTGTCACATACACCATGGATCAAGGGTGAAAGGTGCCAGTCTACTTTAGATCAGTGGTTTCAAATCAGAGCACAGCCTCCTGAAAATAATACATAGTGCCCCCTTATTCATTGTAACAATGGCCTTTCTTCTCTCAACCTCTCTAAATGGCCCATAGAAAGAGGCCTTGTAATCCAAGGCAGTGAAGACCCAAATGAACCGTTAACAGGACATGCTAGAACCAAACAGATGCTGGTACATTCGTTCAGTAAGGAAGCAGGTGAAGCTACTGTAGAGAGGAGTTTCAGTCATTCAGGTGATTGTCAAATAAAGTGGAATTGAAGGAGAAGTGTCAGTAGTTTCTAGTTGTCAGAAATGTGTTAAACTTCTAATGTGGCAGCTACAGAAGCCAAGAGTGGGAATGTTTTCTAGTCACAAGTATTGTCAGAACAGAATTGGAAGTTGCCAAGCGGTGTTTGGTAATGGTAGGTATCATGGGACAAATATAGCAGACAAGCTGTGAAGAAAAAAAAAATCACAGAAACTTGGTAAAATTAAATCGGGCTTGAAGACTAGTATCCTAGTGCTTGATTGATGGTAATTCATAAAACTTTGTTTTTAAACAGGGCGGTTACTGGCATAGCGGTCTCTGGCAACGGATCATCAGTCTTTACAACCTCACAAGGTATATTTTCCCACCTGAAAAATGGCTTTCCCAGAATCATAGAGTCCAAGTTTCTTGACTCTCAGGTCAAGGACTGTACTTGCATGTGCTGCCCCCACATAAAATAAATTGAGAGCAATTGATTTGTGGTATATTACGTAAGGAGGGCCGGGGCTGCCATGTCAGACCTGGGGCACCCCAGGGCATGGTGTGTGTGAGACGTGGGAACGCACGTTTGCTGGTAAGGTTTTCATTTTTGTCCCTCAGTATATATTCAGGGTGTTGATTGTAGCATTTAGCTTGAAATTAATTCCTCCATTGTCAGTGTACATTTATACGTTATCAAAATTATGAAAAACCCTGCAGTTGCTCATTGATACAGCTTATAATAATTATATTCTAATGACACATTAGAATTTTACTCTTGATCTTTAAAAAGGACTCAGCGTAAAGCGTCTCTTGCTGTGTACACAGCTTTCCTTTTCCTGGCGGTCTGCACAGTATGTGATTAAAGCATGGGGACAGGCGCTCTGGAAGGTGTGGAGATAGGGCAGTGTGTTAGTAAGCCTGCTTGGCTTCTCAGACAGCTGATTCTGGCAAAGTTAGTAGCTGACTGTTTTCTTTAGTCTTTATCATAAGAAAGTATATATTTTATCCATTAAGTTAAGGAATCATGCTGTTCAACTAAACACTTCCAGGGGTAAATCAGTTACTCTCAGATTCTGTAATCATGGTTTATTTATTATCTATAGCATGTCATTTTTTTCTCTGTCCTGGGTTTGAAGTAGAATTCCTTGTCGGGGGTTGTAGATCCTACCTAGAGTCTTGGTGTTGGATGAGAAGTGAGATTGTCTAGCTCCCTTTACCACCAGTATGTACAGGAGAGTACTGCCTGCAGCCTCAGTAACAAGAAGGCAGCGTTCTTTGTCATCTTTAAGAGTCAGGAAACTATTCTTACCTGTTTGCCTTCTCATGATTAGATTCCACCTTGAAGATGTTTTCTAAAGAATCCAAAATGCTACAAAGAAGTGTATCATTTTCAAATATGGTGAGTTCATTTTAATTTTAAATCAGTGTTATGATAGAATTCATGTCATGCTTTGTTTTATACACACATGTACAGTGGCATTTTGTTTCTCCCAGAAATTTGCCTTTATTCCTGTGATATTGACACGCCTTAGATTACTTCTAAATTTAAAACTTTTTCAAGTTGCCTCTTTCTCATAATAATGTGATTTCATTTGTAGCCTAAAAAACTTGAACTGCTACCCAGCAGAATTCTTCTTAATAAAGCTTTCCTTTTTTGGAACTGTCAGACTAATGTGTATGTGCTACTTCAATAACGCATGCATTTGTGAGTTGGTGGGATGCCTAATACTTGAAAACAAATGATTCTGAAAGAGCACATTTTACTGTTAATGTAGGATTTTGAAATTCCCTAAAGAATCTTGGAAATTTTCCTTACCCACCTAAATCTATAATCCTGAGAAGGTGTTTGCGTTCTTGAGGATAGTCCCCAGCCCGCCTTCCCCCCTGATTTCCTCCAGTGTCTAGGGGTTCCTCCAGCTCAGGGATGTGAGTGAGGGCCTTGCAGTCCCTGACCATCATCAGGCTAGGTCCTCGCACACTTGACACACTTTGACTTCCCTACAATTGGGAGGAAACAGGCTTGTGGAATTAGCCAGTTGAAAAAAGCTATTTCAGGCTAACATAAACAGAATTTGAGCATTAATTTTGGGGGGATCTTATGAGGTAGTTTTACCATGTTAGGGACTAATTTATTGTAAGGTACTAACGTTGAATCATTTGTATTTCAGGCATTATCATCTTGTTTACTTTTGCCAGGAGATGCCACTGTCCTAAGTTCCTCGTGGGATAATAATGTGTATGTATCATGCGTGCTTCTCTGTAGTTCCACATGCATGTAGCTGCCTTTGTAGACGTGAAGCAGCAAGGGACAGAGTCTTCCATTGGCAGCAACTGCTGTTTTCAAAATGGAACAAATATGAGACGAGGATAATACTGTTGGATTTGAATATGATTATTTGAATCTAATAATTTCTCTAATTGGACTGTTTTAAATTGAGGTGAAAACATAGATGAGCCAGACCTGGAAATTTCTAGTTTTAATTTAAAATTTTCAGTATTTTGATTTGATAACATGAAAACAAGTAATTTGTAATTCTAGTGGGCCTTAGTAGGTATAAAATTAAACATATTTCTTGAATATGTGTTTAAGAGTCTTAAAATTAAGTTGAATGCTGTTTTAATAGTTCTCGTTATCTTTTATGTTAGCTATTTTTATTCCATAGCATTTGGAAGACGCCAGGACACATTAATGGGACATGATGATGCTGTTAGTAAGATCTGTTGGCATGACGACAGGCTGTATTCTGCATCGTGGGATTCTACAGTGAAGGTTTATATATAATTTCTAACTTACAATGTTTGGATAATAAAATTATAAACCGTTCAGCTAATTACCTGTTAACATGTTCAGTTACTTCATTCACGCTTTTCCCCAAAGCCTGTAAGCGTATATAAGGCTATTGAATATTATTGCTTTTTTAAACATGTATACTTCTCAATAGAATAGGAAATTTTCATGATTTTTCTACTGTGTGTTCCACTGGGGGTGAATGATCTAGTATTCATTAGACAGCAGAGTTGTGGAGGAATGTACAGTAGCAATGCCTTTTTATCTAACACAACTGGAACTAGCAATTGATAGTTAATCAGAAAATGTCAAGTTAAAGTGGGGAATCATTAAAAGATAATGCATTTATTAAAGTTAAAACATACAAATGCACAGTCATTCACCATTCTGTTGAGGTAGGAACATACATAAACCACACCAGTATTCATCATCTTTGGTTTCTAATCTGCATTTGTGTAAAAAGAAAGCAAAAACCTAAAACCATTAGAATTCCTTCAAAAATTTTTCAAGACCCTCCCTAATTCTTGTAAATAAGTTTCTTGCCTACACCTAATTTTAGTAATTTTTTTTAGTGACTTGCCTTTTTGAGTATTCTCAAAACATTAATAGACACTATACAACACTTATGCACTCATCTTTCCTTATTTCACACATCCTTAAATTACATAATTATAAGAGCAGGTGCAAGGGATGGAAACAGACAGGTCCAGTCGACTTGGTAAGCACAGGATGGCAGGAATAAAGGCACGGGCACTGTGGGAGAGGAACCAGAAGCATTAGGCAGCTTCATTTGTCGGCAAGCATAAGTTGGTTAATCAGAGTTCTTCAATGTATTAGAAATGCTTTTATTGTAGTACATGTTTGCAAATATCTTCTGCACTGTGTTCCATCCTAGGTATGGTCTGTTGTTCCTGCAGAAATGACAGGCACCAAAAGACACCAATTTGACATGCTGGCTGAGCTGGAACACGATGTCGGTGTGAGTACCAGCAGCAGAAGTGTACGAAAGCTGAGCTTCAAAGTCCAGGGGTTTGGGGGAGATTCTTGGTTTTACTTACGTGTTTATGATATTTTGCTTTGTGTTACTCTGTGTATTGGAGATCGTAAGAGACTCAGTTTTGGGGGGTTTTGAGTTGACTCTTTGGGTTTCCAAGTGTATCTTTTTTCCTCCAGTTTGCTATTTCCATGAGCACGACATTGAATATTTGGGTATTCTCAGATTATTTGGAGCAACAAGATGTGCTCCACTGTTTTTCATGTTTTCTGACATAGAGGGTAGAAGGGACCATCTGTCTAGGAGGATGTACATCCATAGCTGAGGAAACGGACCTGGTAGTTGATGGCCCAAGTGTGTGCAGTTGGGGGAAGAACCGGGGCTGGCCCCTGATCCCTTTCACACACAGTTTCCACTAGGTCCCCTGCTGCATCTTAGGCTCTAGCTCACAGTGCTGCCTTTTCTGAGGTTGGGAATTGATACCTAGTTTGCATGGTCGACAGATCAACTGAAGTCAAGAAATATTTTTTTAGTATGTATTTTAAGATGGATATACCCCACACCCCCCCCCTTTTCTCCCAAATCCCTCATCACCAATCAGCTGTGTTTCAGGCAGTTTCGTGCCTCACTACAACTTACTATTCATGGCGTTAGACTGACAAGTTTAGGCTACTTTAAAACAGCATTACATTTCCCCTAGCAGTACTTCATTTTATTCACTAGCATATAAAGAAATTTTTTTTTAAATGTTATCATTCAGATGTTAAAATACATCTGCATTAACTACACCAGTACCCTGTGCCACAGAGTTTAATCTCTGTCATGACACCCACAGATTTGAACTGGCCTAGGGAAACAGCTTATGACCATAATTCTAAATAGAATACTTATGTCTTCTTCCTTAGGTGGATACAATCAATTTAAATGCTGCAAGCACACTGTTGGTTTCAGGCACCAAAGAAGGCACGGTGAATATTTGGGACCTCACGACGGCCACCGTATTGCACCAGATTCCATGTCATTCGGGAACTGTGTGTGACGCTGCTTTTAGCCCAGGTGGTATTAACCTTTTTAACACAGATGATACCGGGGCGGGGGGAGGGGGGGAATTAAATTTATTACTTTGAAGTAAATAATGAGAATGTAAAAAGAAAAACACTTCGCTGATGAAAGGTTTTCCCTAGAGCTAAAGCTGCTTCCTGGCAGAATACGGCATACATGTGGCATTTGTACCTGTATTCTTTATTCCTCAGCTCACTAGAGAAACTTACAAGATGTAAAATGCACTCACAGCAAAGGGTCCTCAGCCCAGTGTCTTAGAAGCATTTCTTTTTCTTTTTCCGTAAGTTTGAGCCAAACTGATGATATATGCCAGAGAGCCGGAACTCAAATGCTCCAGAACAAAAGCATTTCAAGCAGAGGATAGTCATTGGTTAAATAAGCAGCTCAAGGAAAATAAAAATGAACAATAGGCCACTGGGTTCAGCAATAAAATCTCAGGATAACCTAAAACACACTGTGAAACTGTAACCTACACCTGTTTCATCTCATGTTACAGACAGTCGCCACGTCCTCAGCACAGGAGAAGATGGCTGTGTAAATGTAATCGACGTGCAGACAGGAATGCTTATCTCCTCTATGACTTCACACGAGCCCCAGAGGTATAATTTTGGGGGGTTACGAGTGTTGAAGACATTTACACATGAGTTCATGATCATGCCTTTGGGCTTGCTTTGGCCAGTGTAATATAGCCCTTCCTTCATGGTAAATAATGAAATTATTTCTGAATTATTCTTGCAGGTGCTTTATCTGGGATGGAAATACTGTTTTATCTGGAAGTCAGTCTGGTGAACTGCTTGTTTGGGACCTCCTCGGAGGAAAAGTCAGTGAGAGAATACGGGGACATAAAGGTAAGGAGTTATTCAGTTGGCCTGACCTTCCTAAAATACCGGACTCAAACCTGCTTTCCCAGAAGTCCTAGTCACAACAATCAGACAGGAAAGAGAAATGGACATCCATATTGGGAAGGGAGAAGTAAAACTGTTTGCAGATGACATACTATTTAGAGAGTCCTAAAGATGCCACCAAAAAAACTATTAGAACTGATAAACGAAGTCAGTAAAGTAGCAGGATACAAAGTTGATATTCAAACCTGCTTTCCTTTCAGGGAATGTACTGTTCTCATGCAGACCACACTCTGTTCCCTCCAGTGTCCTGGTTGGCCCGGCGGTCTGCAACTCTTGGGTCCTTAACTTCAGCATTTCATTTATGTTGACATTTGACTCCAAAAAGGAAGTTTTTACATTAATTTCCATATGAAGAATTAAAAGCCGTAGTAAAAGCTGCCATTTTTTTCAATACAGTTAAAAAAAAAACATATAAAAGTAATGAACTACAAAGAAAAAAGCTAAGTCGTCTTCCCACCGTGTCCTACCTACCACTTCTCTTCCTTAGAGGACTTTTCCAGTTTGGGTCCTGGGTGTGTCCTCTTACTGTTGAGCGGTGTTTGCATGTGCGCGTAATTGTCGATTTTCTCAGTAGTATCTCTTGGAGATTAACTGTATTTGCTTACATTTGCATGGTTTCCTCCTGGGCATTTGGAGGATTTATGGCTTTTAATTCTAGTGTCTATGGTTATAAATATCTGCTAACGTCCCACTGTGAGCAGTAACTTCTCACCTTCATCTTTTCCCTGTCACTGTTTTGTATGGTTAGTTCTTTATAAAGTGGTACGTCTATGCCTTTTTCTAAGTTACTAGCTTTAAATAACATTTTTACTCTTTCCAGTATAAATAGCCATAAATCAGCACATTTACACCCGTTCCCCACCCTCTCCCTCATCTGCTTCCTTACTTTTGTTAGTCGTACATAATATTTGCATTCTGTTCTCTACCCATAATTCCCAGTTGTTTTTAGGCTACATTTCATGGTTTCTTAGTCCTCGCAAGTTCCTTATACCAAGCAGTTATTTTTAATTTCTACAAAGACTTTATTATAGGACGAGACAAGACAGTGTAGTCCTTATTAGTGTGTCTTTGGGGGCCTCCTGGTCAGCTCACTCCCTAACCAGTGTATTTTTCTCTTAGGTGCTGTGACATGTATATGGATGAACGAACAGTGTAGCAGTATCATCACAGGAGGGGAAGACAGACAAATTATGTTCTGGAAATTACAGTATTAAGTGCCTTTTCTTCTCCTGAATATTAAATTGAACTCTATTTAATGTATTTTTAAACCAAACTTTTAAATGAACTGGTGAATGTGCAATGGTAGTAATTAGAAGTTTTACCACATAAGAAATTTGTGGTTTTAAACTTTCTAAATCATGGTGACTTCACTGAAAACTACTAGTTGCCAGCCATTAAGGCAGATAAAGATACAGCAGCGTTAGGGAGAAAACATTACATTTGTAAGGCAGATGATCATCCCAGATGGTCAGAAGACAGGTTTCAGGGACAGAGTGAATAGCTAAGAGATGCTAAACTGGGCTGAGGAAACATTCAGAAAGCCAAATTTTCCAAGAAAATGTGCAGTATTCTCCACTACTTCTGAGTCCCTCTATTTTGTCTTCCTGTTTTACACAATTGCTGCCCATTGGGTTTGGTATGTGTGTTTTCATGGAGTGGTTACTTTCTATAACCTACTGTCCCGAGTCTAAGGACCTGGGGAGGGAATAGCAGTTCTTATAACAGCAAGCTTACTGTATAGGAACAGTGTATTTCATTACAGCTATTAAATGCTCATCTTTTCTACATTAAAAATATTTTTCTGTAATGAAACCAGTTTTCACTGTCTTATGTAAGTGATTTATTACAGAAACTAGTACCTTTTAACTTAAAGTATCGATTCTCTTAGAAAACCATACTTAGTGATGTGAATGTTCTTCTTACATTTGGAACCATCTTCAGACCCAACTCCAGACAGCAAAGTAGATAAACTGGGAAACACTGTTGGTTTGCTTTTCTAAATTTCAAACAAGGTAAGCTGTAAAGCAGTAACACTGGTTTTCTTTTCTGAACCACAGTAACAATGTGATTTTAAATTTTTCTATGTTCTTTAAAAATATTGTTGTATCTTGTAGGCAGTATGGCATAGGGGAAAAATTGAACCAGACCAGGGTGATAGAATTTTCACTCAGTTTTAAGTGTCATAAACATTATTTGGTCTTGGGTATCGCTAGGGAAAATAGAATCAACAGCCTCACTGAGTTCCTGGTGTTCAGCCTGAGGGTTGCAGACCTGTCCATCAGGTTCACAGCTGGAATCACCTTTCCTGATACTCCTGCTCTCCTAACCCAGGGGGCTTTTCTCAGGACCCTGGATGTCAGCTGCTGCGAAGATGACTCTCCCACAGACCTCAGGTGAATCTCACATGTCTGTTTTCTAGGTCATGCACTAGTTTGGTGAAAGCCATGGACAGTTTCCAAATGATGCAATAATAGACAGTCTGACTAAATTTTAACTTTATACATATTTAATTGGAATAGGCATAAACCAAAAAAGAAAAAAAAAAATCAGGATAAAGTGTCAATGCCATTTTGTTTGCAGGGAGGAGTCAGGAAATAGAACAAATTACCAGGTAAACATTGTAAGACCATTCCAAAGTAGTTAGGTTACATAATGTTGAGTAAAATGTCAAAATCAGCTTTATCCCACTTAATCTATAAATGAAAAAAAGTCAAAAGTTTATCCTACTTAGTATAACAATTTTTACATTAAATATATAGTAATTCATCTATCAGAAAAGGATACCAGTAACTTTGAGAAGTTTCCATTACACAATTACTAGAAAATCTCAAATGCAACTAAGCAGCTATGCTACAGCTCAGGATGTACCAATTAACTAGATCTGGGATAATGTACATTTCAGTTTAACACAGAACTGCATTATGAGTGTTAGAAAGGCAGCAATAGTTATATTTTGGCTTTTATTCTAGATGCTTAACATAGCTAAGGCAGCAGTTCAAGCATATTAAGTGAAGGTAGTTAAATTTAATGATAATACAATCTCTTTCAACCTACATACACTGTATAATGCTTATTACATGGAATGAAACCAGTGTTATTTAAATTGGTATTTTGCACACACACACACTACAGAGAGAAAAAAAACTATCAAAAGCAATCATTCTAAATGTACTATGGTAACAATAAAAATGCATATATACCATAGAACTAAAGTAATATGAACAGCACTACTTGATTTCTAGGATAAAGGTGACTGGTTCTAACACAAACCTAAGCCTGTATCAGTCATTCTAATCATAATGGCTTGTAAAAGCATCAGGTTTCCAGTAGAGAAACTAATCAATGAAAGTCAGTAAATCTTTTGCAAGTTTCACATCTGTAAAACCAGGATAAGGCTACAACTATTCTGAAGTCTGAACAAGGTATCAGATCCAACAGTTAAGATTCCCAGCCATACTGTGAGATAGGAAGGACCTCATGCAGCATATGCTCTCTGGCTCCTAAAAAGCTTCCTGTGCATAATATAAGTGAAGTTGCCAAAGAAGTAAACTGGAGAAGTTCAGCCAAGTTTCCATTGTGTCATGATTTAAACCTCAGGAATGGTGTGGTCCATCAGGCTTTTCACAATGCTTGGTGCCATCCTACAAGAGAGTCACTTTTATTAAATACTGAAGTTTGGGTGTTTTTTTTTCCCCAAAAATGCTATGCTGATCCAATTCAAACTTAGCACCCGTTAGCATCAAGTGGGATGGAGGGGAGGGGGAGAAACATCTTTTCAATGAGTTTTCAATGAGTTCTGATCTAAGGGTCTCACGTAACCTACTTGTTTTGCAAATATCCAGTGTGAAAGGCTATCTGTATCTTGGTAAAAGTTAGATAAGATACAAGTAAGTCTTTGTATATGAAGGCTGGTGGTTTTTAAAAGAAAGAAAATGAGAATGCTGTTATGAACTGGGAGGGAAATTGGGGGAGGGACGCCTATCACTCATTTAAGAATAGAGAACTGTAGAACCATTAGTCCCGACAGTAACTCCTTTTTTCATAGCCAAAGAGTAGCTAGCTGCTTTCTACCCAGAAGCTGAAACTAACAAAAATTTCATTACAGGTGTGTTATGTTTCTGAATCTTTTGAATCTTATTTCCACATGCAAAACAGATTCTGAAAAAAGGATTCTAAGTTGGCTTGGCAAAAACAGCTGCTAGAGCCAGGATTTTAAAAGGTCCAGGGAAGATAACCCTTGCAGCCCCTTTCCTAGTCTCCCTTCTCAGCTTTCCAGTCCTCACCCCCCCACACACCTCCACACACCACCCTCCCACACACCTACCTGCCTCCTGAGATACTCGAGAGAATAAAAACTGTGACCCCTAACATCCAGTAGGCAAGAATTTGCCATCATGGACCACAATTTCCACTGAGCAGAACTATAGGCAGCATGCAACTGCAGTCCATCTTACTGAAAATTGGAAGCTGAAGTGAAAGCCTACCCACCTCTGCTCATATAACCTTTTCCTACTAGGAAGTATCAAAACTTCGGGAAGTGTATGGTGAATTTTATTCCATACTTGGGAAGTTGTGAGGGGTCATCCTTACCAAACAATTCCTCTGATTTAAACAATTTACTCCAAGTTTTTAGATAAATACCAATGTCATCCCTTAGGTAAAGAACCAAAAGTTTGGGAATTAAGAGAAAGCACAGTGCTCATATTACGACACACAACCATAAGCATCAAGTCAAAGAACTGTCCACTTACCGTTTAATAATGTGTTCAAAGATAAAAGCAGGCATGATTGTAATAGTAACTACAGTCCCAGATGTTGACAATATGTCTGCAATTTGAGAGTCCTATTGAAAACACATAAATTTATTCCACAGATGTTTTATTCAATAAAAATAAAATTACGTTGTTAAAGAAATGTATGTCCTCTTATGTTTTGCTAATATCTCTCAAATCCTGGCCCTTGGTAATTACAATTTTTTTCTAGTTTTCCTTAAGTTTAATTCTGTAGAATCACAATTTTATAGGCGATAACAAAATTGCTAAGTAAACTTGAGTTAACCAAAGTTTGTGAAATAAATAAGCAGGTCATAATGAAAACCTTTAGACGTTAAAATAGCCCTACTTAGGAATTTGTGGAAGGAAAAAAACTATAAAAAAGACTAATAATATGAACAGAAACTATTACTTGTGTCCTACAAACCAGACTGAAAAAAGTTGGACATTCATTCAAAATGCCATCAAAATCTTCAGTGGCTATGTCTCCATAGAATTCTAGTTCAAGATACTTCAGAGATCATCTAGTCCTGCCCTGTTGTTACAGGAACAATAATTCCGGATAATTCCTTTGGCCTGAGTACAGCTAGCACAGAGCATAGGAGAGCCCCAGGTCCCAAATCACGTATCTCCCCCCATGTTTCTATATTCTGGAGGTCAATATGAAAACAGCACCACCTAAATAGACAAATGAAAAAGACATCTGCTAAAATAAAACCAGCAGAACAAGACAAGTTCTGTTCCTTACCTTCAATCCAATGACATTCTGTCCATTAATTTCACAGATGTTATGTTCTGTGAGAAGACCATTTCTGGCTGCAGAACTGTCTTTTACTATGGATGTTATTTTTCCATTTTTAAAGATAAAACCAACATGTCCAGTACTATCCTTATGCATAGTAATTGTGCGTTCAAAGGGCCTGTAAACATAATGGGTTCGATTAAAAACTGCATGGCAAACATTTTAATGGAATTCTGTTCTGCCGTACTGGATGCTTTGTTATAATAAACTCAGTGTTTCTAAGAAGAGCAACTAAGTATGGCTGTGATATGGCACATTCACAGAACATCTTAGCATAACAGATTATAGTTGACCCTTAACAATGCGAGGGGTTAGGAGCACTGACGCCCATTCAGTTGAAAATCTGCATAGAACTTTTGACACTGCATAAACTTAACTATAGTCGGCCACCCTCATTTGCAGATTCCCAACAGCAGCTCAAAAATATTGAACCTTGTACAATACAGGTTTGAACTGCCCGGGTCGGAATAGTAACTAAATCCGTGTATCAGTGGACCCATCCATGTGTAAGAGTCAACTATATATTTTTTAATTTATGCATTATAGTTTGCCTAAATTACTAATCAAGATTTCCTTCTTGTAAGTATTCAAGACTTAACTGGCTTCTAGAAAGCTCCTTTTAGAAAGGAAGGCATGCAATTATTAGAATAAGGCAGCTAGCTGTCTGCTCTCAAAAGCTACCATGCCAGTTATACTTGCTCACCTATCTGTAATTCTGCTGTAATGTCACATGGGTTTTCTGATAAACCTGTTTTTTCATAAAAGTAAGAACAGTCATATCTTCCTGTTGGTCCACGATACTATTTTCCTTAGATATAAAGCAAAAATGGCATTCATGTACAAAATGTTTACTAAATATCTACTATGTGTGAGAACTAGAAACACAAAAAGTAGACGTTTAACTGAGAAGAAAAACCCCAAAGCTAACAACATGACATAGGTCCGCCCTTAACACTTGTGAGGGGCATGGCAAGAAAATAAATGGAGGCCCATAGTTCATGTGCTAAATATTTAAGTTACAGATGGACTAAGGGCTAAGTAAAATATCCCACCTTGACAACTAGAGCCTCATAACCACCCAAAAACCCAGATTTGTTTTGGAGAACGTATAGATACTTGGGGTTCTGCAGGGGCCCTGAGTGTCTGAGCAGTAAATTGGAAAGTGAGGCCAGAGACACATGCTGCTTAGTTCTCCAACATACATTTTCTATTTTCTAGAGAAACAGATTAAAGACAGG